TAGGAAGGAACACAAACCTTGTATATTTGGGACTCAAAATGCCAGCAAATTCAGACCCCCCCACCTCAGTAAACTGAAATCCCATTAGAAGCTGCCCTAGCTGCTTCCTTCAGCTGTGAATTCAAAAAGGTGTTAGAGCAAGAATGACAAATATTTTCATAATGGAAAAACTGTTCTCAGACAAGTGCAAAGCAGAACACTGATCTCTAAGTGAGCCTAATTCGCTACAAAATAGGCAGAAATGAGAGTTTATACACATTTTATGAACAGGGCTATTTTATGTGGATCTCTCCTACTTTATTCAATATGCAGAAATAGCACATATCCCGTACACATACAAGATTAGCAAGGACCCCAAACTGCAGACAACAAAAGAGAAGATGGGGTGTTCAAAAGATGATCCCTGTTCTCTCTCAGAATGGGCTTCAATATTTCTGGATCTTTCAGCTCTGCATGCATGTCCTCCTTGTCCTCCAGAAAAATCCTGGTCTGGGGGAAGAGGCACTATGCCCTAGTGACCTCAAAACTCTCAGCACTCTCAATATTCCCACTCCGGAACTATCATTTATTTCTGCTTACCATTTGAAATGACTGCCAATTCCTTTTACAACCTCTGGCTACCAAAAACTGGTCCCAGTCTGTTAGGTATCACATAAATTTTCTCAAACCTGTACTCTCTTTGACAAAAACCTTACAGTCTAAAGAAACATTTTACTTTGAGGAAAAAAAAAATTTATTATCATAGAATCGTCTAGGTTGGAAAAGACCTTTAAGATCACCAAGTCCAACCGTTAACCTAGCACTGCCATCCCACCACTAAACCATATCCCTAAGCACCTCATCTACCCTTCTTTTAAATACCTCCATGGATGGGGACTCGACCACCTCCCTGGGCAGCCCATTCCAGAGCCTGACAACCCTTTCTGTGAAGAACTTTTTCCACATGTCTAACCTAAACCTGCCCTGGCACAACTTCAGACCATTTCCCTTGTCCTATCGTCCGTTACCAGGGAGAAGAGGCCGACCCCCACCTCACTACAGCCTCCTTTCAGGTAGTTGTAGAGGGTGATAAGGTCTCCCCTCAGCCTCCTCTTCTCCAGGCTATTATGTGCATTTAGTGCCCACAAGAAGAGTGCTATGCTGATATCACATACGAGAAACTGCAAGATTTATCTACCAGAAAGAAGCAGCAGTACTGCTAGATCACTTGCTCCAAGGAACACTAGGAAATTTCTGTGCACAAGTACCCTGTCACACTGCTTGTTCATATTACTGTTTTGCTGCTGTTTTTACACATCTGCAAAAGGGCAAGCATACTTGTGTTCAGGACTGGGACAAGATAATACAGATATCTGTAGTTGAAATCCCCTCAATCACATAAAGGTTTCAGAAGAAAACAAAGGATTTTTGAAACCTTTAAAATATCCCATAAAAGCCGTAAGACACTGGCACAAAGACAGGCTTTTAGGGAAACCAATTACCCTATTCCCAGAAGTTAGGGCATGTCTGTCAGACCCATGCAAACTACTGCTTAGGAATAACATGCAAGCTCCTGTTTCAAGGCCTCAAACCTGCTGCTATTTTACTGTGAAAAAACTACTCACACATTTTGTGTAGTCACCATGGCGACACAAGGAAAGTCACCTAAAAGTTACAAAACTAAAAGTGGGTGCTGGAGCTTACAGACCCTGTCTACAAAGCACAATGACGTGCAGCAGCCCACTCAGATAAATCAGTCACTGAGTATCCGTCACTTGAAAGAAATACCTACGCTGCACAGACAGATCAAAGCTGCAGCAAATGAATTTCAGCCTTACACTAAGGCACCATCCTTCCCAAGTAAAAGCACAGCTTATTTGCCATTCCAAATGCAAATTCTGCCAATGACTTTTGCTAGGTCAAAGGAGGCAGCAGAGAATTATGTAAAATGAGTAACTGTCCAAAAATATTCAGAAAACCATCTTCTCTTTTCTTTTTCCTCATGGATAATGGATGAGCCCTGAGGTGACAGCGACTTTCAGCAACTACCAACTCAGACCTGGACGTGGATCAGTAACCTAATTACAACGTGCTTTTTGCTTCTTTCATGAGCTATTCAAGTATCTCAACAGAAACACAAAATGCTTTGTGGGTGCCTGATTACCCCAAACTGTCAGTGGTTAATTCCAAAAGCATATCCTCACTTAAAAATGGTAGTTCTACCACAAATTAAACTATTATAGCCATGAGTAAAATTAGGTTCCACATTTGTACTTTCTAAAATATCAAAGGCGTGATTAGCAAAGTCTTTTGTTCAAGATCTGTAGAGTCCTTGAGGTAATGAAAACTGGGTCATGGGGTAGTTTCTCTGAAAGTAAATGCTGTGTTCAAGTAATACCTGCTTCGGTGACTCCTGGAGTATTGGGTCTAGAGAATGGAAATAACTGTACCAACACATGTACACCAACAGTAGTAGCCCTGCCCTTCCCAAAGGGGGGGGGGGGGGGGGGATAAGGCATAGCAGATGACTTTGAGCAGTTTCCTGTTACGATCCCTTGAAAGAAATCCAACTGTACTTTCACCCTGCTTTCTGTTTTCTGAATTTCTCCTGACAGTTGGCTCTTTCATTTGCCAGAACCACAACAAAGGACAGCCTTGAGTTTCCACACAGGCCATTTTCTCCCTCTCTCGTCTCTGATCATCTCACAAAGGTATTATTGTTGCTGGCTCACTGGGGCTCAGTGCACCTGAGGCAGATCAAAGGCACTTTTTAATGCCCGCCTGACCACACAGGTCTCTCTCCCACTGCATTAAATTAAACTCGATGATTAATCTTTGTAGCCCTGAGGGTCCCTTGGTGCACACAGAGAGAGAAAATATATATTTCTATCAAAACACAAGTATAATATACTTTCATTTTATAGCCCTAATTAAAAAAAGGAACAGCTAATTTCAGCCAAATGCAGCTGCATACAGGTCTCATTAAAACACAAATACAACTGCTCTGTGTGCTCTACATTCATTTCATGCAGACTACGCAGGTAATAGATAAAAGAACAGTAAAACAAAGTCCTTTCACAGATTAAATCCAGAGAAGTTTAGAATTTGCTTATTGTCTGCTGGCTAGAGATTGTTATACCTCTGAGCAGATGACTGAAGGAAGGCAGTTAAGGAAATGATTATAAAATGCTGAGTAGTTACATTTAAATAAAAAAATACTTAAATCTAGCCAAAAACTGCATAAGCATCTATACCTGTGTTTGCATTCAAGTGATTAAGAACCTTAAAAGGGTCTACTTTGCCTATGCTGTGCAGTCTGTGTGCGACTTTGGGGTTGCTTTAATGACAGAACAGAACATTGATTAACATCAACATGGACTTTATCATGTCACTTTTGTTAAATTAGCGTATTTAATGGAGCCACACCTCTTACAGTCATGGAGTATGCACACAAAAAGTGCCATGAAAGTGTTTATACTGATAAGTCCTGCTCTGGTTTGGATGCAAACCAAACTATGGTTGTGAACTGGGTCTACATTAGAACTCACCAAAATACATATATTAAAAATTAATAAATAAGCACATGCATGTCCTCCTACGGGGTTAGTTATACTAAAGGAATAAGTCAGAGCCAGCTGACCCATTTCCAGCTGCTCCACATTGCCCTTAGACCTTTTGGGGAAACTGTCTGCAAGCTCCTCAGCTCATTTCAGTCCATGTCTCTATTAACCCAACTCATTTTAACGACTTAAAATAACTCAACTAAATGAAACAGGTTAGGAAGAGTTCACACACAGTTTCTTCTGAAAGGGCAGAAACCTCTATCAAAAAAAAAATGGAAATAATAGAAGTAGTGGCAGGCTCAAAGAGTGACTTCTTCCCCCAGAGCTAGTATTTGCAGGGTGCCCTACATGCCCTGTGACAGACAAAGAGATATCAATGTAATTTTTCAGAGACAGAGTAAGCTAAGAGTGGTGGAGTTTGAGGTTTGAAACTCTTGTTTAGGAAGGAATCCAAATATATTCCAACTGGTCTACAAGATTAAAGCTTTTGTTAAATGTGCTGCTTCACAGTACTGGGATTATTCACATCTTTAAATTCAATCATGTGCTTAAATGCTTTGCTGAACTACAATCCATGTGACAAGATCACCATTTATTCATGCTCAAGATCACCATGTATTCATGCTTTTACTATGAAGACAACTTAACTTACTGTTAAGCCTGACATTTTATTATCAGCTTCCTTTCTTTTTCTCTACTGGAGTTCTCTCCATGAAGCATGTTAGTCCTCACGAATACCTCTAGCTCTCCCATTGCCATTTGCTTGGTTTGGAAAAATCCAAGTTATAATCAGCCTAAATTTAAGATCGAAATGAGTTTTAAATAAAAAATGTGGCAGAAAAGGCTACTTATCTAAATGGAATGCTTTCAGACTCATACATTTTAAAAAGGTGTAATTTCAAAAGCAGACACTAAATTTTAATTGCAATCTCAGAAAAAGCTTTTGTATTAATTCACTGAGAAAAATTAGCAAAGTGAAAATCGCTTATTGAGGTTTTTCTTTTTAGTCATGATACATATCATAATTCTATACACCATGGCAACTTTTAGAGGTAGAAGGATTTATATTGATTAAGTGAAGAGGTAGGGGAGAAGGGCTGTGGCTGAACATGCACTCCTTCTCCAAAGACACTATTCTATAACACATTAGTGACAGGCTTGTCATGGATAACTCAAGCTCAGAGTCTTTGGCTCAGATTTCAGGCTGCTCTTTAAGCCACTCTAGCATCATGGTTTTTACTTTCCATGTCATTTTTCAGTATTGATTTCTACTACTATTAAAGTTCTTGCTTAAAAGCAAATGCATGGTAATATATAATTAATATCCAAAAGTAAAGATAGAGTTACCAGAAAAAAATCAAGGAAAAGGAAAAGGGTCAGAAAGACAGAGGTCATTTTTCCCTTCAAAAACATTAGTTAGTATATCCTGTACACATTAGGACTATGCATACAACCTACCCCCATGTGGCATGAAGATGTTCCACAGATCATAGCAGCTCGGGATGTAATTGGCTGGTTCTCACATGGCAGGTTATGTCCTTTCACATCTGCTCCAATTACTCCTATTAAAATAAAATTAAAATTCTATTTTAAAGAAGAGCAAGCCAACCCTCACAAAAAAGCTTTTCCACACACGAATAATTGCTGAGTATCTCACACCACTGCCACAAATCTAAAAAAGTCTACTTAGTCAATAAAGTTATTTTATCAAATCAGATTAAAATGTATTGTTATTCCAGATCCATGAATACACAAGACGATTTCTTGTCTGTTCATGTTTACCATAATTATTTTTTAAACGTTATTTTGACTATAACCTGACCTTTGTTCTCTTAGGTAGTACGCTAACATGCAGAATAAAAAGCTGCACTGTTGTGAAATGCAGTACGGTAGACTGCAGACATATTTATTTGTTCCCAGTTTATTATGCATATACTGTATGATGTGTTTTGTCAGGGGATGAGTTGGAGAAAGGAGTAACTTGGCAGGAGACTGGAAGGCTGCCAGTTTTGTTGTCTTGACTGCTGCTGCTGTTCTGTCCACCTCAGACAGAATCATCTAAAGGAAGATTACTCCTTCCTTGAGAGGACTGTGCTTACTCTGAGGAGCTTCTGCATGTAGGACAGGACAGGAAGGAGGACAAACGCAGCAAGCACTCAGCCTGCAGCAGAAACATACAGCAGGAGATGCCAGGGAGGAGCCAGGAACTTGCTACAGAATGGGGCAGGCCTACAGCCAAGCTTCAGCATGCATCAGATCATGCTTAGTTCACTTAAGGGGAAGCTAAAGTGGAAATCCTGCCCTCTCCTCTTCCTCTCCTAGGCTGCATTCTTGCATCACGTTGTGCTGCACCCAGCAAAATGCAGCAGCCCAACAAGTAATAATCTTTTGTTTGTCTTTTTCTTTTCATGAGCATTACTTTTCAACTGGCAAACTGGCCACCAGACTGCACATTGCATCTGCATCTACAATGTGCAGTCTGGTGACCCATTTGCCAATCCTGCTAAAAAAAAAATAAAATATCTTTTTCCTCACTGGTGAAGGAACATGAAAGCATTTGCTGGACATTGTGAAAGATTGCAAGTGTTACTGCTGGTTAGTATGCTACATTTCATTAACACCTTCTTTTTTAGGTCACCACTTCAAGATTCTGTTATTAAATCAGTCTGTTGGGGTTTGTCTTATCATGGTTACCATGGTTATCATGGTATTATGACCACTGGAAGTTACTTAAATAATTAGGAAATTAAGATCTAAAACTCTGCAGTCTTTAAAAATCCTTAAAGATTTTTAAGTCTTTAGTTTCTTTATCCTAGCTGGCGTGTAACTATGTAGTAGCACAGCTGTCACAAACAGAGTTTATTTGTAAGGAACAAAAGAAAGCTAAAAGCATGGCTTTTACCTCTTGTGCTTTATTTTCCACTACTCAAACACAGACATGCATGAGTTGGTATTAAGAATTTTGGATAAGGTTTTCTAAAAGGCAATTTCATGTACCAAGCAACACTATTAGAATTTCTTAAAGGAGTTAAAAATATTGTTCACACTTGAGAGGGAATAAATCTACTAAACTGAATTGTCAGCATATGTTGCAAATGTATTTTCATAAACAATACAAAATTGAAGAGCCTCATATTTAGATATTTTTAATCACTAAGAAAACATGCATTCTGCAAAATACGCATTCTGGGCCTTTTTGAAATCAGTGGGATTTTGTCAGTGGCTTTATCATAGAATCATAGAATCATAGAATGTTTTGGGTTGGAAGGGACCCCTAGAGGTCATCTAGTCCAACCCCCTTGCAGGAGCAGGGACACCGCTAACTAGATCAGGCTGCTCAGAGCCCCATCCAACCCGGCCTTGAATGTTTCCAGGGATGGGGCCTCCACTACCTCTCTGGGCAACCTGTTCCAGTGTTTCACCACCCTCATTGTAAAGAATTTCTTCCTTAGATCCAGTCTAAACCTACCCTGCTTCAGTTTAAAACCATTACCCCTTGTCTTGTCACTGCTGGCCCTACTAAAAAGATTTTCCCCATCTTTCCTATAGGCCCCCTTTAGGTACTGAAAGGCCGCAATCAGGTCTCCCCGCAGCCTTCTCTTCTCCAGGCTGAACAAGCCCAACTCTCTCAGCCTGTCCTCATAGGAGAGGTGCTCCAGCCCCCGGATCATTTTTGTGGCACTCCTCTGGACCCGCTCCAACACTTCCATGTCCTTCTTGTGCTGAGGGCTCCAGAGCTGGACGCAGTACTCCAGGTGAGGCCTCACCAGAGCAGAGTAGAGGGGCAAAATCACCTCCCTCGACCTGCTGGCCACGCTCCTCCTGATGCAGCCCAGAGTACGGTTGGCCTTCTGGGCCGCCAGCGCACATTGCTGGCTCATGTCCAGCTTTTCATCCACCAGCACCCCCAAGTCCCTCTCGGCAGGGCTGCTCTCAATCCTTTCTTCCCCCAGCCTGTACTGATACCGGGGGTTACCCCGACCCAGGTGCAGGACCTTGCACTTGGCCTTCACTAGTGCTTAGAGTTGCTAGAGTCTTCCTCTTTGGAACTAAATGAAGTCTGACAGCAAGTAAGTCTGGAACATTCTCATAACAATGAAAGCTTACATATTTTATTTGCTAAAAATAATGCAATTGCTTTTGTAAGTCACTTTCACCTTTAACTTAGCTGGAATTTTTCATACTCTGAGGCAGACTCAAAACCTTTTGAAGATTCTCAAGAGAGACTGAGAACAAGAAGCCTGTATACTACACAAACTGTAGGAGAATTTAGAAAAGGAGGCAATGCTTAGCCTGCATAATTTTGGATCTCTTCCACAGTGACAAAGAATTTTAGATACTGTAGAATAAATTGTCTACTTTTGCTGAAACGATGCTGATGTCTTTTCAAAAGGTGCAATGTAAACATTATTTTTACGAGGCACATCCCAAAAGAATGGCCTCCCATACTCATATTTTTATCTGTAGTCTTTTTTAAATTGGCACAGTAGGTCAAAATGTAAGACATAACTACTCAGCTTTTAGATTTTTACTTTTCCATAATAGGCATCAGATGCACTGATTCAGGAGTCATAGGTGACCTCCACAAAAATACGTATTACGTAATTCTTTATCTTTACCTTCTTTTACTCAAAACTTTGAAGCCTTCATAAACTTCAGGAACCTGTCCAGCAAAACCGCACTTTATATCCAGCCAAAAGCAGATCTGAACAGTGCATCAAAAGTTATTAACACTGAAAAAAAGATGCCCATCATGTCATTTTGGTTTACACTGGAGGATACCAAAGAGCTCTTTTCGTTACTCTGCTGTTACAGACTATTTTTAAAACAACCAGCAGAACGCGTCCAAGAATAAGAATAATGATACCCACTGGAAGTTGTTGTCCCAAGAACTAATCTAATGCTTACTAATATACAAGTCCTACCCTTCAAACAAATTTTAAACTTCAATATTTCAGTGCAGATCACAGCAGAGTAAGCACTAAAACACACATCAGTACTTTTTCAAAACAAAAGTTTTACATCAAATACAAGTTATTTCCAGTATTTTCACATTTTAATTCACTGTTTCAAATATTTCTTCTCTATTTTCTTTTTTCTTCTGTGCCCCTTTTATCATTATTAAAAGATTAATATGCTTTAGTGCATTGCCATTCTTAATTTCTTTTAATCAGAACAGTTTCACTTGCTAGTTCTGTGTTCTCCTTTTGCTTTTCTGTTTTTTCTTCAGGATTTTCAGCTCTGTATTCTACACACTGTAGGTTAAACTAGACTTGAAAAAGATTAAGATTCGTGTTATTAACAGCTGTGGATGAAGGAGAGCCATTCAGTATCTGAGATGTACCCACACTATTCATTCTCTTTATGTATATTTGCAGCTCTCCTTTGCTCCTGCTGCCTCTTTTACTATCCAAATCTTTTCCTTTTTACAGCTTTTCTACTAGTTTCCCTACCTATTTATTACCCTTCCCAGATTCAAGAAGGATGAGTTCCATCTTAAATCCTCCTCTTGTCTCAGACTCTACTCAGTTATCATGTGATTAGCATGCAGGTTCTCCCATTGTGCTACTGACTCTTCCCTCTGTAATGCGCCTCTCCTTCTCTAACAACAACCTATACATTTCTTTTCTCCTGGCAATGATTTCAGTAGTCTGCTAGTGTTTGTGGTGCCATCTGGGAAAACATATTCTGATAAACAGTACTAGCATAAGCAGACTGTCTCCATCCACTGAAATCTTCCTCTGTTGGATGCCAGTAGCTATATATTCTAATGTTAGAGTTTCTTCACAGAAGATTATAGCAAATGAACAGCTCTCTATTCTTCAAATTCAATTCATTGATTTCAGCACAAGAAATTTATTGGGCAAACTTTTTGTGCTCTGAATCCAATACTCACATAATGGTTCCAATTAAACAAGGACTCTCCTCTGTCACTTTCACGTGTTCTGTGACAATCCAGTTTTTCAGCAAGTTCATTATTTCAGGCCAGCTTATTATTACATCCTTTTCAAGAACACAAAACTGCTAGGGCACATAGTTTTAAACACATTTTTATGCAATTAGGATACTAATTTACAAAGTTTTTTAAGTAAATCACAACAGTAGGAACACAACACGTCTACAACTATGACACTAAAACTCAGTCTTCCTTTTTGCAGCTGGATCTCTATCTAACCCTTCTGAGGTAATAATAAAAGCAATCTACATGGTTACTTAGCCTCATCAGAAACAGTTATCAGAAGACTAGTAAATGGATTTACGTATTTTAAAAGTTCCAGGCCACAACTTCTAGAAGAACAAATGAGATTTTAAACACCACAAAATATTTGAAACAAAACTGGTACTTCAGCAGCTAATCATATTTCATTTTGATCTAGAGCAAAATACTCCGATGAGCAATAGATTTCCATTGAACAGTACCGTTTCAATAACACTGAAACTTTCTGAGGTAAGACTTTTTTCTAAACTATCAAACATTGAATCACTTTGTTATTGACTGTATTTAGATATGGCCAAACAGCATAGTAAGAAAATGAAGCCATTGTGCCTCACCAAATATATTTCAACACAGTTGAAACTGGGCATATCAGAATATTGTGCTGGAAAAGAAAAAAAACTAAGCATCAGGCCTCCCACTCCAGTTATGGATAAAAAGTTCAAAGTTGCAGAGGGGAATGCTGTGCAGCGGCCAGTTGCCCCTCTACTTTTTTTTTTTTTGCTAGTTTAGATACACAGTAGTTACGTATTCTAACCCCCAGACCAAAAGCACTGGTTTTGGTATATCTCCCACATGGTGCTTGCATAGATGTATGTGAAAAAGTCTCTGCTGAGACTAAGAAGGAAAACTAACTATCAACAAGCCTCAGACATGAGACTTCTCCCTTAGAATGTTAATTTTTTATTTTTCTTGACAATCCCCAAAGTTTTGAACAACAGAGAGCAACTCTCAGCACATTGGCTTGCCAATACAGTGGTGTTTCAGTTCAGGAATTCAAAGTGGAACTAGCAGAAGTTAACAAACAATTTGAAAATCCACCTGAAAAGAAATAAACAGTGATAGCACCTTTCTGTAAACAGATATTCAATATTAGCAGTTATTGTGAGGCGTTTTTTTAGTTTTACTTATCCTATTTCATAAGAATAGCATCAGAGCGAATTGCTGGATACAAAACAGGCTGTGAGAAAAATGGCTTTCTAGTATTAATTCAATACATTCCCGTTTCCAAGAATAGTAAATATATGACTGAGTACCTAGTCCTCCTGCATGTGCATCAATGAGAGATGCTGCTACTGCAATCCCTTCAGGAAGACCGAGATCTTTTGCAGCTTCTGGCATGAGACCTTTTCCAACAGGCTCTCCAGGAGACAAGACACGGTTTCCTGGGCAGACACAAGAAAAACCAAACACCTGTCAATTTACTAAACAGAAAAACAAATGTGTATGTTATTACAAGAACTCCCTTCCTCTCCCTCAAGTTAGTGTGGTACATTTAAAACAAAGAGGTGCATCAAAGTACTCTATCTGATTAAGAAGTATCTTTCATTATCTGTCTATATATCAAATACAACCATGCTAGATAAGGCTGTCCCATAACAATTTGAAAGTTCAAAAGCATTCAATGCCCTATGTAGCTACAGAGAAAGATTTCACCACAAGCAATAAAATCCTGCTTGGCATCTTTCCAAGAGATATGAAATACTTATGCAGAAATCTCAAGTTCTTGCGGTAGTTACTGACTAGGCTGCCTGCAGCCATTCTCTGTGCGTGTGAACAAGATTCAGCTCAGCCCATGCTCACAACTGAAAACTGCACCTGTTGCACAAGGCAGGGGCCATTTTTTTTTTCCATTTCCATCCTCTCCAGCAGTTTCCACTAGAAATAAGGTGGCTATAGTAACAGAAACTCTGAAAACCAAACAGGCTTAAGCAGGAAATTCCTCCTATTGCAGCTGTATTTCCTCACAGACTTAAATAATCCCCTTTTTAGTCTCTGCTGGCCTTATGGAGTATGAAGAACATTATGGTCTTCATTCACAAGCAATGCAATGCTTTGCTTTCAGTCCTGTCACAGGGGAGCCCGGTGACAGGTCCTGTCTACATTTGTGTCTGCTACCATAATGCACATTAAGTTTTGTCTTGCAAAAAGAGATTGTTTCAGTAACTAAATCATGGTGATAAGAGATTGCTCAGAGCTTAGAACAACAACTCTAGATTCACAAACTTTCCGAATTTAAGGACACTCCCCTACAGTATCCTCTCTGGCTGTGATATAACCACAGCCGAAGCAATGAGACTGACAGCTCCCGGAACCACACAGACTTCACTATTTATCTAAAGATTTGGTGGGTGAGAGGCAGTGAAAGGCACAGCGGGAGCTCCCATATACCTCCCGGACAATACCAGGGCTTTTAGTACATACCTGTAGCATTTACTAAATTCAACAAATCTTCTGGGCAGAGTTGACAAAACTCCTTTTTAAAATAAAATGAGCCTATGTTCACAGTCAATTCTATTGAGAATGTTACACCTAAAGCATGTTTTGATATGTAGAAAGGAAGTAAAACATCCTCCACAACAGAGATTAATTAGAGCAATAGCATATCAAAAAATACCAGGAATACACTAATGCCTATGAGCATAATCTTCTAGGAATATAGTTATACTACCCTACTGTTAGAGGAAACGAAGGTTATGATATCAAATTCATGAGTGGAAAATGGGTCTTCAATTTTACCTATCACTTAGATCTTTGCCTTTGCTGGAAATGATGTTGGTTCTTCACTTCAAGGAAGGTGCCCACTTCCTGATGATGCACTGTATGGAGCACTTCGTGATTAGACTGCACACACAACTTCTCGGTGTTCGCTTCTATTCGCTATTCTATTGACAGGCACACTACCGCCTCTGAAATGCTATGCTGAATCTCATACTGGAAATTTAAGACATGTATAAGCCAAAACTTTTGCACTTGACTTTGGGTTTCTATTCAAGTATTGGGGGCAGTAACCAAACCTCACCATTTAACTTAGACAGAAGGAAACAATGACATTAAACTATGTCCTCAGAGAAAAAAAAAAAAACTTCCTATTTTATTAATTCTTAGTATAAAGTCAAAACATTGTGCTAGCTTTTTCAAGAGGTGTATCTCTTGCATTTTTTCCCCAATAAGTTGGAGAGCAGGATGTTTATCTTTAAGAGAACTTTTGTATTAACTTTCTGTTTTCTTAAGACATTGGAGAATAATACCAGTAAAACAGAGTTGTCTGTTTCTCCTGACATTCAAAGACCCTGCAGGTGGAAGGAAGTTCAAAAGAGTTCATGCAGCTAAAACCACATCTTTTTCTTCAGAATCAGTTGCCTGACCTGAAAGCATACAAGTCTCTTGTATATACAGCATGAGATGAAATTAATCTGAAATAAAAGCTCTTTCCAGGCACTCAATTCCATGGTCGGCTTTTTTATATCAGTCATACTGGTCAAGCATTTTAGTGCATAACTATTATGTGGTTAAACTCCATTTTAGAGATCAGGGCTACTATTAGACAAAATCTTTTCCTACCAGCTTCTCAATTACTGTATTTCTAGTTAATGAGCACTAAGGGAGCAATTTCAGAGATAAAGATAATCCTCTCTTCTACAGCACCAGCAGAAGATTACCCTGTAGATTCCTCTGGTACCAGTTATATATCAGAACGACCAGCAGCATTGCTATCCTCCATGGACATAAACTGTGTGAGAACGTGCAGGGATGGGTTTCTTGTGATTTGAACATGCAGCATAAAAACCTCGTATTTTTTTAAAAAAATTAATTAACAGTAGAGTATGGCCCATCTGTTTTAGGAGTCAAGGTAAACAGTTACTGCTTCATTGAAAGCACTTCCTGACAATCTGGAAAGCGACAGCAGTCAGAAGTCACGCATGACATGGATTGCGAAGGGGAGTCTCCTAGGTCACCCAGCAGTCAGGGAGAGCAGAAAAGAGGTGCCAGCAAGTGAGTGCAGTAAGGAGAGGATACTGACTCTGTCCCTCTACTTCATCCTCCCATCTTTAAAAAACAACAAAAGCTCTGCTACACCCATACGGTATGTTCATGAGGAGCTTTGTAAAAGGGAAGAAGCAGGCTCTGCATGGGCACTCTTTCTGTCATCATGGAAGTTGCCTCACCACCCACACCAGTATGAGTAAGTAGGTATGGAATCGGCAGAGCCTTGACTGAACCACATGGGTAGAGACCTGGAAAGGGAATTATAATTCTCATGGTTTACTCTTCACTGAAAAACTAGAAAACTCAGCTAAGCATCAGTATGCCTAGAACCTGTAGGTATAAAGCTATTAAATGATAAAATAAAAAAAACCACAAGAAGCAACCAAAGAGAAGCCATAATTAAAAAGTAAAGCATTTGAAACTGATTGTACTCCCAGTACTAGAGAGCGAGAGAATGAATAGATTCTTACTTGAGCAAAACACAGTGGCTTTAGAAGTCAAGGGACAGCTACTATAAAAATAAAGGTATTCTACAGCTGCACACCAGCATTTCAATGGCAGGTGCTGCCCCCCTTAAATCCTACCTGTCAGGAGAAAGAAGCTGTTGGGGAGGGAGGAAGGGAAATGAGAACCGCCTGCATACAGAGGCGGGCAGTGAGAGTATTACAGAAGGCTGCATAAAAGAGGCAGTGAAAGGACTGAGTCTTCTCAAGGTTCCTGCCAAAGTAAATGTATCGAGTCTTTTGTTTACAGTAGTCTCCTGTGCAAGTCATTTACCTTTGCTATAATGACTTCCAAAATTAGACCTAACCAAACAAACCCATAATGGCTGAAGCTGGAGAACTTTCTGTTTCACATTCATACAGCTGTTTCACTAATGCAATGCCTTAATCCACAACCTTTTAATTTCATACGAGACAGACTATTTCTAGCTATTTTTCCCCCTATAAAGCAGCGAGTTTACAAAAGGAAAAAGCTGTCTGAATCTCTTCCTCCTCTTTTATCCTTCTTCGAAGACTAATGTTAGAATTTGAAATGATCAGGTTTTGTTTAAAGAATTTATGTGGTACCAACGACCCTCTACCTTTTTAGGCAGTTACCACAGCAACCAACTATTTACCAGACGCAACACACAAGGCAGACAATACATCTTCAGTCAACTTTAGTAATCAAAATTCACCATACAGGCTTACTAATATTTAACAGAACTAGGTACTTTAGGACATAGACCTTTTTAAAACAACAAACGCAGAGCGCAGCAGGGGGCCCAGCTGACTCAACTATGACATACTCACTGAGAACAGCTTTTCATCTATCATGCAGAACGTGGCTGCATTTCCTAAGCCCTTATATCTGGCTGTAAATACAAAAGGAAGAAAATCAAAAAGAGACTTCCTTTTTCCTTACTAACTTGACCCAAGCAAACTTGAATGAAATCCCAGCAACCTCAGAAACCAACCCAACCAAAGGGTACATCCTGTCTCCATTTTGTAGCCTCCCCAAACTGGACAATCTAAATGCTTTTTAATTTAAAAGACAATACAAAAAACAGATATCCTGTTAAATAAGTGATATATAACATACATTGAAGAAGTTATCTAGTTAAACAAAATGGTGCTAGATAAGCATCAAAGGAAACAGGACCTTAGTAAACAGAAGCATCACCTATCCAAATGGATCTCATAATAAGCACTGTAAGGGATTTTTCCCCTCGATGCTTTGTTCATTACAAAGCTTGTAGACAATCTTCAATTTCTGTGTTTTATAATAATCCACACAATGCCAAAAGTCTGGGATATGCAAGGAATCTGAATAAATAATATTATAATGCTTCTGATACGTTGTCGCAACCCTATCTCACATACAACACACTACCAAATATCCCTCTTAATTACATACAATACTCACATTTAACTGAGATATGTATGGCTGATTGTTCCACAATTTTTAACCCATCTGATTAGCAAAAATAGCACTAAGATCAGAAGGAAGCAGGATAATGATGTGGACTGTAAAATTATAATATTAATTTCTTTCTCAGGACTGAATACATGGTGATTAAAGGGTACTAGAAACAATCAGATTTGGGGCTTTCTTAACATGGAAATACCCTCCGTAAAATTTCCCAGTTGGCAGTTAAAAACTTCAGAATTTTCATTCAGGAAAACCAAAACAAATTGTGATATTGTAGGTCAGCTTATTTAAAAGTGAGAAAAACAGTTGGTTAAACAAAATCACTTTGGCTTTCTTCAGTTCAAAATTCATATCTGTCTATGCGAGCTGCCACAGTAGCTTGAGGCAAATCTAATTTGGGTCCTTTCCATCCCACTCTCCCATACAGCTCATGCCTTTGGCTGAACTACAACTCAACTACCTAACATGTAATTACTTAAGG